ATATAGATGGGAAATTTAATGCTGGGAGACGCTCATTTCACATTTATTGCATTGTATGTGACTCCTTAGTTTTTATTTACTATAATTTATATGATCCAGAAATCGCTAAATATATAAAAGAGAATCGAAATGGAGGAACCGGTTATTTATATCGATCCCCAGAGAGCATGTGATCTTGATCAGGATCTTACTTTGCAGAAGCTCTATTACTGACCTGAAGGCTATTATCGAACTGTTAAAAAAATGCAGAATGCTTGTAAGAAAGCCAGGTATGAGTTTACTTTAGTTGAAATAAAAAAATAGTTAGACCGACAGGCTTTACATCAGATTTATAATCCTTGGCCAAAGTTTATCCCACAAGCATCTTTTAATAATATTACCATACCTATAGAAGTTATTCAAGCTGATTTATGCCATATGCCTTATGATCGAATTAGAAACAAACCTTATAAATTTGCACTTAATTGTGTAGATATTGCTATCCATACTAAATGGACATATCCTTTAACTAAACGTAATTCTGCTAGTGTGGCTAAAAGATTTATAAAACTTTTTAATTCTCAAATATGCCCAATTATCTGGTCTAAAGTTAAAGTTTTAATGATAGATAGAGGCGTAGAATTCCAAGGTAATATTATAGAATTAATGAATAAACATGGTATTCAAATTCAAATAGCAAATTCTAAAGAGTCTATAGGTATTGTTGAGAGATTTAATCGTACATTACAAGTGTAGGCATTCTTTATCCAAGATAGTGTTGAAATAAGATTACCTCCTACTAAATACTGTCAAGCTTGGGTAAAAAATCTTCCAATTTTTCTTGTAAAGCTTGACAATTCTGTAACTCGACTTCTGGGTATTTCTTTTGCTGAAGCTCAAAAAAAAGAACATGTTTTTGCTAAAGCTTCTAAGCCATGAAAAGGACCGATTGGATTTGATAAATCTAAATTATCCTCTAATACCTTAGTAAGATATTTGCTTAATCCTGGCAAACTAGAGAGAGGAAGAAGACGTGTAATTGATATGAATTGGTCTTCTCAAGTTTATCATATTAAAGAATCACTGGTACAAAAAAATCAGCCAGTCTTGTACTGGCTAATAGATGATGAAGGCAATGGTCTGAAAAGATCTTTTGTAAGAGAGAAGCTTCAAATCATAGGTCCTGATACAGAATTACCACTACAATGGGTACTCACGAATTAAATTTCCAATTCATGGAGTTTAAGTATTTTATTTACTTCTTCTGTAGATCTTTTTTGTATAACTTTTTCTTGGTTTGCAAATAAGAGATATAATTTGTATAACTTTTCAAGACTCTGATACACTTCTTCATTATACCAGTCTTTGAAATTCTCTATTCTTTTATTATAGGCTTCTTTATTTAGAGCTCGTTGCTTTGATATATATTTGCAATAATCATCTGGGTCTCTTTTACGTTGCAATGTTTTCAAATAACCCATATATGCTAATCCTATTTTGTCATATTTTTTTTTGCTTTGACTATATGCCACTTTAATTACCTCAACTAATGCTAATTTGATATCTTTATAGTTAATCATCTAGTATTGAATGTTTGTATTAATATAGCAAAAACTTTTGTTTAAAATAAAATATTTATTTCTTATTACTATGATAGGTGAATACTATTGCAACTATTTACTTATGACTGGATACGTTTGTGGGCGGACCTGTCGTCGGCCTGAAGGGTGTTTTGAGCATTGAAAGGCTAAACCCTGTTTTCCTTGTAAGGTTTGTGGCAAGCCGACTAGCTCTGAACCCAGCCTTTGTAGAAAGCATTCTGGTATCTATTATGTGACCCAATATTTTAATAGGCTTCAGAATAAAGCTAATGCCAATAATTTAATTTGGATAAAAATTGATGAATTACTTCTAGAGCTATCAGCAAACAAAACTGAAGAAGCAGGAGAGCAGGGTCTACAGATCGAAGCACTACAGGTGACCAGCACTATTTCTCCAATCATGAGCAAAGAATCAGAAGATACTGGAGATGAAGCTCCGATTTTCAAGCCCAGTAATGAGATTACGATCCTTCAATCCAGAATCATTACCTCTGGTAATATTCCTAAAGCTCTGATTGATTCGGATGGTGAGAATATGGGTATTGACTTCTTTGGAGATTAGTAGAGCTAGATTATTTTGGCTGATAATTTTTTATTTACATCTTGCTAGCTATTTTTTTTTTACATCATGCTGAACCGGTCTTTGTAAAGATCATGCTAGTGGATACTATATAACTCAATATATTAATAGGCTTCGGAATAGAGCAACTACCTTTTTGCAATGATCCACCAAGGTGCTCTGATAGTGATCCCAATGGTCCACCAAAGGTGCTCTAATAGTAACCACTAATGACTCACCAAAGATAGTAATCTCCAATGGCTCGTTAAAGGTGCTCTGATAGTGACCCTAATAGCATGTCAAGATGTTCTGCAGATATAATTTTTTTATACACCCAGTCTGCCTATTTTCTTTTTTTATC